AATGGTCGCAACCTCACAGCACTACACTACGTGTATGTATACGTGCTTACAATCGTCGACCGAATAAGGAAAGGTTCACTGACCCAAACATTACACTATCCTATAATAAGGATTCGCGGTTGTTTTGGTCTTGCGCATCACCGCGTGCGAGTACCGCGACGTCAAGGACGAGACGCAGTACCGTTAATTCTGACGGGGACATGTGCCCCGATAATAAATAAAAGTAAATTTATAGATTTAAATAAAATAAGTTATTATTAATAAATTATATTTAATTGGTATATAAAAAAATAATAATTTAATATAAAAATAATTAAACTAAACATTAGTGTAAAAATAATTATAGTAAAAAAATATTGCGATACTAAAATAAATATTTAATAATAAAATACAATAATTATTTAATAATAATAATAATAATATACATATATTTTGATCGTGGCATTAAAAGAACAGATTTTGTAATATTAAAAATTATTTCTCAAATATATAAGTTTAGTTATAACATTAAATGATACTATAAAAACATTTTCAAACATTTTTTTATATATAAGTAAATGTTAAAAAATATTTGTTGTGATATATTTATTAATAACATATTTTTAATATATAATGACATATATTCAATAAAATTAAAGGAATTTTTGAAAAATATTTTAAAACATTTTATAGGAACGAAAGGCAAATATTTTTAAACGTTAATATAAAAAAAAATCAGTATTTAAATTTGAACATATATTGAATGTCCATAGGATGTACTGTTTAGGACATTTGATTCATATCCAAAAAAGGACATCCAATTTATGCCCTATTTATGTCCATGGACATATGGACATAAATTGGATTTAAAATGTACGTCCATAATACATCCAGTGCTATCTGGGTAATTATTTTAATATTTTATAAATATTTATCATAAATATTTATCATAAATATTTATAAATGTTTTTGAAGTCTTAGATTCAATAGATCATAAATATTTATCATAAATATCAGAAACTATTTACAATAAATATTATAGTAAATATTATAAATATCCCACACAGCACAAAACGTTTCAGAGACCTTCGCAAAATTTATTCAAAAATGTTTTATATACGTCTTAAATACGTGAAAATGTCCGCTATTTTGTCACAAATATGTTTATGAAAGATTGCATAAATGTTTCAAATGTTATTTTTTCTATGTTATGTTTTTTAAATGTTATAATGACGTTTCAGTGTTACTTGAAACTTTTTTGAAACTTTGAAACGTTTCTGCAACATTTCTGTTGAGTTTTGTGCTGTGTGGGATATTTATTAAATCATTATGATACAGATTTTTTAAATTTATATTTTCTTTAATAAATACCCAGTCAGAAATCATAAATTAAAAAGAAATAATCAACGATTTTTTAATCAAAACGATCGGTTGATATAGTCAAAATTTGAGATCGGATAATCTAATCTAAATTTGGTCGATTAGATGTTTTTCTGTTTTCAAACTCTATTAGTCATTTATAAAAAGTTAAAAATGTGTAAAAAATGTTTATAAGTAACTTATTAGACATTTATTTTAAAATAGACTATAAAATTATAAATATACACTGAATATACTTAGACAACACAGTAGTTTAACAAATAAATTTACGTATACATCGATATATACGTAAATTTGTTATAAGCGTTCTGTTACAGAATGTAGCTCAAAAATAGAAATAACTTTGACATTTTTAATTTTATTAATTTCTGTTTTTATCTTATATAATTCTCACAACAAAAATCAAATACGAGAAAGATACGTCACATACAGACGCGAAAAATAAAAGAACTAACAATTTAGTTAAAAAATATTTACAAAATAATTACTGTAATATTTATCTTTACATACCATAAATATTATATGAAATATTTAATCTATGTTTTAATAATATGTTAAATAAAGATTTTTATAAAACATTTTCAAAATATTTATATAATATTTGAAAAAATATATATTCATAAATATTTATGAATCTTTATCATAAATATTGTGTGCTGTCTGGGTATTATTATTAATTTATTAATATGTATTACTTATTATTATATAAATATGTAATATTAAAATATTATTTTTTAAATAATACATATAGTTTGTGACAAAAAATATAGAAAACAAGTGATGATACTAATTGAAACATATAGTATATGTACTCTAATAATAAGTTTATTATAAGATAAAAGATAAAATAATTTTTGTTCAAAGTATATATATATAAATAATAAATGATATTTTAAATCAGCCAATAAAGCCCAAGTGCGAAAAATTAATTCTTTGGAACTGTATCTCTTGGTTTGAGATTACTAAATTCCATATATAAATTAATCTCGAACTTACATATGAAGAAAATAGGCGAGAAAAATCCATATGTAAGTTCGAGATTAATTTATATATGGAACTTAGTAATTTCAAACCAAGAGATACAGTTCCGAAGAATTAATTTTTTGCACTTGGGCTCTATTGGCCAATTTAAAATATCATTCATTATTCTTAATATTGAGAGCCGATAAAATATTTCTCATTTGTATATATATATAAAGTCTTAAACTTTATATATATTTATAGATACAAAAATTCTAATAATACAATTTTATAAAAAAAATAAATCATATATATACAATATATATCTCAGTAAACACAACATGTAACTATTATGTAAATGTTACGTTTCCGAAAACGTTACAAGTAACGTTCATATTAGTTGTTATTTCTCATTCGTAGATATAATATGTAATGTTATGTTGCAATAGATATGTAATATATCCATTCCATTAGCGTAATATAACTTTAAATATTATATGAAATATTACGAAAACAATGTTACGTATTGTTTAAGTTAAACTTATAAGATACGTATATATATATTATGTTGCAATGTTACATTACACCTGTAATATTTCGTATAACATTCAAAGTATTACATGTTACATCCAAATGTTACCTGTAACGTTTTGAAAACGTAACATTTACATAATAATTACATTACTATGTTTACTGGGAATAAACGTTTAGTAATAAAATTTTTTAATCAATTTTATTAATAAAAATAAAGTAAAATCATAAAATATATTTATATAAAGTAAATATCATAAGATTTATATTAAAAAAATACAACAATGCATACATAAATAAAATTGCGTAAAATTCAAAGAGAAATGCTTTTGGACTGGATAATACACGTTAACATGGGCGCCGGCAGAATTATTTTTAGGAGGTGCACCCAAAAGAGGATCCACTGGAAAAAGTTTTTTTCCCAGTTTATAATTAATTATTATTAACTTCATTTATATGTTATTTATTGAATTTTAATAAAGATGCATTAATAATTGAAAAATTCTAATTTTTTATTGCAGATCTGTTAATATAGTAAAGAATTGTAGTTTTACAATTGCAAATAGTTATATTTAACTATTACATTTTTTTAAAAAAACTCCATCTTCATCTCGACTAAGAGCCAAACGCGATGTTATTGCGACAAATTAATATTTAGAAATTTTTGGAAACTGAGGAATTTGAATCCTATGGTTGGGATCTCAGAAATTCCCCTTGTTCCTTCTCTTAACATCCCCTGTAAGAAAAAGACGAGAAATATTTTTCTCGTCTTTTTCTTACAGGGGATGTTAAGAGAAGGAACAAGGGGATTTCTGAGATCCCAACCATAGGATTCAAATTCCTCAGTTTCCAAAAATTTCTAAATATTAATTTGTCGCAATAACATCGCGTTTGGCTCTTAGTCGAGATGAAGATGGAGTTTTTTTTAAAAAAATAGGAGAGCTGACTGACAAATATTCTTATTAATATTACATTTGTTTCAATAAAAAAATTATAATCGATATTATTCTATATTACATGATTTTTTTACTAAATATTTTCTCTGTTGCTTCCCACTTATTTTATAGAACAGAGCCAGGGGGGTGCAAATGCACCGCCTTGCACCCCCCTCGCGGCGCCCATGCACGTTAATCTATTTTGAATGCTAAAAGATAGGTTGAGCTTCTAAAACCCACATTCTTGACTCGAAGAGCTTTGCCAAGCTTTCTTAGATAGATCAAAATTTATACATATCTAATAAGAACTAAAAAAAGAATAAAAGCTTTAATTTTTTGTATCATTTAATAGTGTTTGTAAATGTCAGCTAATAAAGAGAGACAAAGAGGAGAGAGAGAGAGAAAGATGAGAGACGACGAGAGAGAGGAGAGAGAGAGAGAGGGGGAAACAAAGAACATCAAACTGACAAGATAACTTATTGTTCGAGAAAATATAAAATAATTTTATATTTAGTCATTAATAATAAAAAATATGATATACTTCTTTTAGATATAAAATCAAAATTAAGAAGTAATTTTTTAACAATGATAACACAAAAATATGATATATATAACTTGCGTTTCCAAATTAATAGCGTTCATTTAAATACAAAACACAAAAATCTAAAACATCTATAAATAAATTGAGCGCATTACTAGATGCAAGAAATTGTAAATTAAAATATAAATAAAAGTAATATAAAAGAAAGAAATAATACGTCACCCGTGTGCCAAAGATCGATGAATAACAAATATAGTGTGCGTGGGATATTTTTGGAAGCTAAGGAGGATTGTAAGAATTAAAACGCGCTTTATATTATATATACATGCTTGTGAACATTATCTCCCGTTTTTAACTTTAATCCGATAAGTACTATATAATAATTATAAAACTTTGCAAAAAAATGTGTAAAAAACTGAGAAAGCAAACGCTCGCAAAATCGCAATCGTAATAATAAAAGGCAGAGCATAAATACGCAAACCCCACATGAAAGATATTATTTTTTTAAAACAAATAAGAGAAAATATTACGCATATTTTGCAAGGTATTACTCGTAATTTTAGAACAGTAAAGAACAAGCGTTACGCTAAAAATAGCATACAGCCAGTGGAAATTGTGTTAAAGAAATACGATATGAATATCAGACTGGGTATATCTAGCAGACTCGTCTTTACCTTGTTTACGTCGTTTTTCCTTTCGTTTTCTTGGTTGCACATCGCCAGACATCCTTTTTTTTATGAGTGAACGCTACCTCGAGTGCTACTTTGAGGTCACTTTAACGATTTGAATTTTCAAATATCGAAGATCACGTCGAGAAAAGATCACCACTCTACAAAAAATTTGATTCGAAGATGATAGATCGGCGCTACCGAACACGAAAAAAACCTTATGCGAACTTATCGACGTCACGTGCGTTTCGCGTACCATCTATTGGAATTATGCTTCATTACTTGCGTTGAGTTTATCGATATAATAATTGAACATATCTCGATTATATCGAGTTTTATCGATACATATTGATATTCAACCAGCTTATCTTATATGGGATTCCCACTGGAACTATACACTATACTGAATGCTCACTCTAAATGTATGTTGAGAAACGGGTCACTCGAAAGACGGAAATAGATTAATAGCAAACATGTCATCTATCCTTGTCTAAACATCTTTTGATGGGCGCTTTAGCTCGAGTAGTACTACGTTAAAAAGAACAGGTTAGTAGCAATTTTCTATATATTCGTCCCATTTCTT